CTCTATCTGTCTCTCTGTATCCAAGGATTCTCGTTCTCAAGCAGCGCCAGGGCGACTCCCTGGAAGGCGGGGCAGGGGACGCGCCTTCTGAGAGAGGGAGGGCTGCCTACACCTTTAAGCGCGGGGGCGCGCGGGGCCTGCGCCTTTAAGCGCGGGCGCGCGCGCGGCCCTAGGTTCCCGGCGAGGAGGCCGCGGGAGCACCGAGACCCGTCCCGCCTGCCTGGCCCCCGCCCGGCCCCCGCCCCGGCCCCGGCGGGGGAGGGGTCTCTGAGAGCGGCCCCTCCCCCCTGCGTCCCCGCCTGCGCTGCGGTGCCCCTCACCCCGCGTGTCCCTGTCTGTCCGTCTGTTCGCGCCCAGGCCTCGCCCCACCCCGGCCCCGGGGCTGCCTAGCCGCCCCCCATCCCTACACCTCCGCAGACCCCTTCCCTCCAGGCCAGTCTTCCCTGCAGCCTGGGAAGCAAGCTGGGACGCCGCCGCCCCAGACCCAGAGCCGGCACCCCGACATCGGGGTCCTGCACCCGGAGATTGGATCCAGAGATCTGGAAACCCAAGCCTGGGACCCTGGTCTGGGGCTGGGACCCTAAGACCTGGAGCCTGAACACCAATATCTGGGGCTGGAATCTCAACATCGATTTCTGGGACCCCGATATTTGGAGCCTGAACCCCAAGACTTGGAGCCTGAACCTCAAGATTGGGCATTTAAAACACCAAATCTGGAGCTGAACTCTGAATTCTGTGCCTGGGACCTTGAAATCTGGGATGGGATTCCCTTGTCTGTACCCTGGAACCCATCATTTGGGACCTGAACCCTGAGATTTAGACCTCAGATTCCAAGAACTGAACCCTGGCATTCCAAGGGGCCTAAACCTGAATTCTGGCCTGAAGTCCTTGCTGCAAACCTGAATGCTGAAATTTGGGACTAGAGACCTCCAAAACTTGACTTAGCACCCCAATATCTGAATCCAGTACCCAGTATTGGATCTCAGGACTGGGCTTGGAACTTAGAACCTAAACTCTCCATTTGGTTTAGCATCACAAGACTGGAGCTGGGCGACTCTGACTCTGAACAACTCAGGGGTGGCTGGGTTCTCTAAAATTGGACCCTAGAGGCCCAATATTTGGGGATCTGGTACCCTAAGTATCAAGGTCTGGAGACTCTGTGACTGCATAGCTGAGACAGAACAGTTCCTGTACAGAGGCCTTGGGGACAAGGAAGACATGACCAGGTCCCCCTCCAGAGCTCTGACCCCTGACCCCCTTGGAGCCTAAGGACTCTGCTCCCTGGGGCGGCTTCCAGCTCAGGTAAGGCCCATTGTGGGGAGGGACTGGGGAGGAACTTTGTGGCTGAGGGTGGAGGTAGGTGAGGATCAGGTATCCCTGGGCACCCTTGGGGTTTTCCCTGGAAACAGATACCCCCACCCATGGGTCTGCCTCCAGATCCTTCTCTTTCTCAGACATTCTCTGGACACTTGGCCAGCTCTGCCCTTCTCTGATCTCTTCCCCAGTTGGTGGCATCTCCAGGTCTCTGACCCACCCCTAGTCTGTCCTCTAACTTCTTCCCACCATCTGTCTTGTCTGACCATCTCTAGCCGCCTCTCCTGTCCACCCCTCCTCTCTCCCGTCTCCTTTTTCCACCTCTCCTCCCTCTGACCATCTTTGAC